CTATTTTATTCTATTCTATTCCTTATTTTAATTCTATTCTACTCTATTCTATTCCTTATTTTAATTCTATTCTATTCTATTCTATTCTATTCTATATTCTATTCTATTCTATATAGGTCATAAAAGGGGCAAAACTCACTTACTAACTGACTTGGCTGACAATGGAAATTTTGGGGTGCATTTTCGTCATAAGGCGAGGACTACCTGTACTATTTTTACAAATAACTCAAGATGGCCAACCTCTCCTAAGCAACTTCCTCCCCCTCCTATTTTTCCCACAGCCATTTGGTTTGTGCTGCCCAAACCAAATAATTTGACTGGGGAGCTTAGGAAAAGGATTTTAAATTTTTAAGGGGAGGTCAGGAGACCCGGGGGCCCCTTAGGAATCAAAACACGGGGCTCCCCCCTGCCTCTATTATATAATAATAATAATAAAGTTGGAAGGGACCTTAGAGGCCATCTAGTCCAACCCCCTGCTCAGGCAGGAAACCCTATATACCATTTCATTTCTGACTGACTTGGCTCCCCGTTTCGAGAACTGGGGATACAGTTTCCTTTGGAGAAAAATCTTAAGAGTTTTGGGTTCTGCATGCTGATCAGCCACTTCACTGTCAGCGGGTTGGGGGGGGGGTCTGGTGTTGGGGGGGTGTTCGCCCCTCTTCTTGTTCCCCTGCAAAAGGGGATAGCAGATAGACTGCCTCCGGATAGGGAGGTTTTACTGATGACCAGGGGGCCTACAGCTAAGAAGGGGGTGCCCCATCTCTTTTTCTCTTGGTAAAGGGGACATGCTTGAGCAGGGGGTTGGACTAGATGACCTCTGAGGTCCCTTCCAACATTATTATTATTATTATTATTATTATTATTATTATTATACATTGATTATTATTATTATTAAACATTGATTATTATTATTAAACATTGATTATTATTATTATACATTGATTATTATTATACATTGATTATTATTATTATTATACATTGATTATTATTATTATACATTGATTATTATTATTATTATTATTATTATTATACATTATTATTATTATACATTGATTATTATTATTATTATACATTGATTATTATTATTATTATACATTGATGATGATGATGATGATGATGATGATGATGATGATGATGATGATGATGATGATGATGATGATGATGGTCTGGGGGGACTTGGGAGGCCTTCCCTTTCTTGGCCCAGGGAAGCTGAGGGTCCTCCAGTGGGGGTCCCAGAACCACCAAATATGGAAGCCACTCTGTATTCCTTGGTGACCCAAGGACTGGCGTGGGGGGGGCTGGGGGAGGCTGGCGTCCTATGCAGGGAGAGGCACCCCACGTCCACCCCAGGATGGCCTCGCCTCTGGCCTGTGCTGAAGCTGTTCAGTAGAACTTCCCCATCTGGAGGCAGTCTACCTGAAGAGTCCTAAAAATCTGAAGGCTAGAAGGGACCTTGGAGGTCATCTAGCCCACCCTGTGCCAAAGACCAAGGGCGGGAATAAGGGAACCCGCCATGATGCCGCCCCACCCCCACGTGGGCTGCCCCCCTTTGCAGGGGGAAAAAAAAGAGGGGCTCTCTGTGGCTGGCGTGGGAGGGGGGGACAGCGGTATCCAACGCAGGGAGAGGGGTCCCCCTCCCTCCCTCCCCCCCCTTGCAATGCCCTTAGTTGCCACCTGCCTCAGTAGAACTGCCCCATCTGGAGGCAGTCTACCTTAGGACCCTAGAATCCTAGGACCCGAAGGGAACCTTTAAGGTCATCTAATCCACCCCTCCCCCGTCCCAAACAAAGGAGGGAACCCGGGCAGGGCTGAGCCACGACCCCCCCCTCCCTTTACAGAGAGAAAAAGAGGTGGGGGGCACCTCTTTCTTAGCCTGCCCATCAGCCTCCTGGCCATCAGCGGAACCTCCCCCCTCCGGAGGCAGTCTACCTGACCCAGTGGCCCTTCTGCAGGGGGGGAACCCAGAAGAGGGGCGAAGACCCCCTTCTCACCCCCCCACACAGCCCCTTCCTCTCCGCGCTGGGGGCGGGCAGGGGGCGCTGCAGTGGGACCCCCGGGCCAGGCGCCTGGAGGGGCACCAGCAAGTCAAACTCCGGCCGGCTGCACGAGCCCCCCCCTTTACAGGGAGAAAAAGAGGTGGGGGCACCTCTTTCTTAGCCTGCCCCCCCCTTTGCCAGCCTCCTGGCCATCAGCNTAGATTTTTGCCCGTTGGCGTGATTCGCACTCGGGGCCTGGTCCGCACTAAGTTTCTCGGGCAAATGATCCAACACTGGAAGTTTTTAAGAAGAGACTGGACAGCCATTTGTCCGAAATGGTATAGGCTTTCCTGCCAGAGCAAGGGGGCTGGACTAGATGACCTCCAAGGTCCCTTCCAACTTTTATTATTATTATTATTATTATTATTATTATTATTATTATTATTATTATTATTATTATTATTATTAAAGCTACTGAGCAATTTTTGGTAAAAAAAAAAAATCCATACGGTTCGAAGTTTTGGGCTCAAGAGTAACCAAGTTGAAGGGGACCTTAAGAGGTCTTCTAGTCCAACCCCCTGTTCAAGCCCAGAGGTGACCCCGAGCCTTTCCGTCCTCCTTAAAAAAGAAGTGGGGTATTGTGTTGTGGCCTCGCAGGGCACTGTAAATCCCAGTTCCTAGTTTTGGGAAGGTCAGACTAGATGACCTCCCCCCCAAGGTCACTTCTTGACTCTTATTTTCTCAGATGACTGTCTAGGCCCGTCTGCCACCCCACTGAAAAGCTATCCAGATCGTCCTTGGCTTACGGCCACGACTGACCCCAAAATTTCTGTTGTTCAACGAGGCAGTTAAGCAAGTTTGGCTCCGTTTTATGACCTTTCTTCCACGGTTGTTAAGTGAAACGGTGCCGTTGTTAAGTTAGGAACACACAGTCGTTAAGCGAATCTGGCTTCTGAATTGGCTTTGCTCGCAAAAGGAGATCGCGTGACACACACACACACACACACACACACACACCCTGGGACGCTGCGACCGTCACAAATAGGAGTCAGATGCCGAGCGTCCGAATTTTGATCGCGTGACCACGGGGGAATGCTGTGAGGGTCGTTAAGTCTGAAAAACGGTCGTAAGTCATTATTTTTTCCAGCACAGCTGTCGCTTCAGTCACTAAATGAACAGTCGTACGTAGAGGATCACCAGTATTTGTGGGGTACCTGGCACAGTGGCCCCGTTTGGAATCCGGTGCCTGGCAGAGGGAGATTTATACAAGGAAAATCCCCTTTAAAAACATTTTAATATCTGAGCTGGAGTTTTTTTTGGGGGGGGGGGGTTGGTAGTGGTTTTAGCTTAGCAAGGACGAAAAAATTAGGGGTAACCCAACAAAATTGCCCCAGGAGGAATGAGAAGAAGCAGGCATGCTGTGAAGCATGCCAAACGCAGAACAACAAAATTAATCCTGCGGAACTCACTGCCACGTGACGGAGCAGCGGGCAGTGAAATGCATACTTTGCAAGGATATGGGAGATTCCAGAGAGGGGATGATCACAGCTCCCAACCAGGGTCCAAGTGAGGGGAGGCGTTGAGCTCCTGGCCTTTGATGCCCTTGCCAATCGGCCCTCCGATAAACCCTTTTGATTGATTGGTTGTAAACTTTGCATATACTTTTTCCGAGCCAGGATTTTCCGAGCCATCTCTTTGGCCAGGATTGGGGGCAGGATGCTGGATGAACTTTGTTGTTTTTTTTTAACTCCTCCTGTTGGGTTCTTGTGATCTTCAGCTCCAAGGGTCCTACCTGTGCCCAATTGGGAGTTGGCCCAATTCATTGCCTGTTTACTAGAATAGAATAGAATAGAATAGAATAGAATAGGAAATAGAATAGAATAGAATAGAATAGAATAGAATAGAATAGAATAGAATAGAATTTGGAATAGAATAAAATAGAATAAAATAAAATAGAATATGGAAAGAATAGAATAGAATAGAATAGAATAGAATACAATACAATACAATACAATACAATATGAATAGAAAATAAATAGAACAGAACAGAAAAAACAATAGAATAGAATAGAAAAAACAATGGAAAACAATAGAAAACAATAAAATAGAAATAGAAAATGAATAGAAAATGAATAGAACAGAACAAAAAAAACAATAGAATAGAATAGAATATAGAATAGAATAAAGAATAGAATAGAAATATAGAATAGAACAGAATAAGAATAGAATAGAATAGAAAATATGAAATGGAATAGAAAATGAATAGAACAGAACAGAAAAAAAGAATAGAATAGAATAGAATAGAGTAGAGTAGAATAGAATAGAATAGAATAGAATAGAATAGAAAATGAATAGAATAGAAACAGAACAGAACAGAATAGAAAATGATTAGATTAGATTAGATTAGATTAGATTAGATTTGATTAGATTAGATTAGATTAGATTTCAGACAAATGGCTATCCAATCTCTTCTTTAAAACTTCCAGTTTTGGAGCATTCACAACCTCTGGAGGCAGGTGGTTCCCCTGATTAATTGCATAACCCACTGATGGATTTACGGCAGGGACGTCCAACCTTGGCAACTTTAAAACCTGTGGACTTCAACTCCCAGAATTCACCCAGCCAGCGTGGGGAATTCTGGGAGTTGAAGTCCATAGGTCTTAAAAGTTGCCAACAGTGGCCAGCCCTGATTGAATGGCGGGATTCCCACCGCAAAGAAAACGTGGAGATTAATCCTCCTTTTAATCTGGAACTCACCTGCTGGGGAAGAATAGAGCAGGGTCCAAAAAAAAAAAAAGGAAAAGAAAAACAAAACGAAAAGATTGAGAGGAAAAACGAGGCTGATGGAGGAGGAAAACGGCAGCCTTGGAGACTGGGAAGGGAAGGCGAAAGGAGAGCAAATTTAATCAACCTGCCATTCTCTGTTGCGATGTCCAAGATCTGGGGACGGCTGTGGACCAATTCCCTGGCTGACCTCATTGTCTCTTTCCGCCCCCCCTTACCCCCCACCCCAGGTCCCCCGCCATGAGTCGTCGGGTGGTTCGCCAAAGCAAGTTCCGGCATGTCTTCGGGCAGCCGGTCAAGGCCGACCAGATGTATGAGGACATTCGCGTCTCCAAAGTGACCTGGGACAGTTCCTTCTGCGCTGTCAACCCCAAGTTCCTAGCCATCATTGTGGAATCGGGAGGAGGAGGAGCCTTCATGGTCCTGCCCTTGAGCAAGGTAAGTGGCCTTGTGGGGAGGGGGCATCTGTCCCCAAAGGCGGGAGCCATGGGGAGGAGCAGCACTGAAGTCTCCCAAGGCTTTTGACTTCCGCACTCGAGGTGCTTCCGTAACGATTCACAACAGCCCTGCGAGGGAGAGAATTCCCTTGGCCTATATAAGCAATGCAGAAGCCAGCCATCGCAAAAGGCAAAAACAGCAATTGAGCCTTCTGCGACGGCATCTTGGCACTTCCCCTGGCAGGCTCTGTGGATTGCTACAATCCGGGCCTGCTTCATTCGCACTCGGGGCCCGGTGGCTACAAGGCTACGGTACAGGGCTACAGTACAGGCCTGAACGAGTGAAATGAACCCCCTGAAACCATGCTGAAAACAAACTCGATTTGACTTCTGAGATGATCCACAGCCACCTTTGGAGAAGGACGCAGAGAAAGGGATGAAGGAGAGTATGAAAGATAAGATAAGATAAGATAAGATAAGATAAGATAAGATGATAAGATAAGATAAGATAACCTTTATTGTCATTTTTTAGGACGCAGAGAAAGGGGTGAAGGAGAGTATGAAGGATAAGATAAGATAACCTTTATTGTCATTTTTTAGGACGCAGAGAAAGGGATGAAGGAGAGTATGAAGGATATTCAAAGGGATGAGAAATTAAGGCGAAGAGGAGGAATGGAAAGAATCGAGCTGGATGCATTTAATCTTGGGAAAAGGTGATGGAAGAGGAGATGAAAGGACTTGATCAACAGCTGATGGACGTCAACAGAAGAAGGACAAGTCGTGTCTTGTCTTTGTCTTCAAGATGAGGGTTAATGGATTGGATTAAGATAATGTTTCTCAACCTCAAAAACTTGACGATGGGTTAGTTAACCGGATTCTATTTTTGATTCTGGACAAGCAATGTAGTTTTGGGGTCTCTTTTCTGGAGAAGTTTGAAGGTACCCTAAGGGTTCAACCAAACCCAAGTCAATCTTTTGGGCCTTCCACCTGCTCGCTTACTTCCGGACGTTCTTGGTGACTTTGCTTCTCTCTTGTGGCCTGTTGACAAATTTTTCTCTATGGGCTTCAGCGGAAAAAGGTATCTCTGGGATGGTGGAAGATGGGCCACTTTGCCCCATCTTTCCTAGAGAAGCTTGACCTGCTGCTTGGGGGGCAGGAATGTGGGTGAAAAGCTGGAGAGATGTCTCCTCAACCTTTGCTTCCAGGCATGGGAGCTTGGCACGTTCTGGGGTCTTCACTTGGATGTTCTTCCTAATCCGATGTTTCTCGACCTCAGCAATTTGACGATGGGTGGACTTCAGCTCCCAGAATTCTGGGAGTTGAAGTCTCCCCCTCCGATCGTCAAGTTGCTGATGTCGAGAAACATTATCTTAATCCAATCCGTTATCCCACATCTTGAATTCTGGAGCCAGAGGAGACAAAGAGATGACTCAACCTTCTTCTGTTGACGTCCATCAGCTGTTGATCCAGTCCTTTCATCTCCTCTTCCATCATCTTTTCCCAAGATTAAATGCACCCAGCTCGATTCCTTCCTCTTAGCCTTAATTTCTCATCCCTTTGTATATCCTTCATACTCTCCTTCGTCCCTTTCTCTGCGTCCTTCTCCAAAGGTGGCTGTTGATCATCTTAGAAGTCAAATCGTGTTTGTTTTTAGCACGGTTTCAGGAGTTCATTTCACTCGTTCAGGCCTGTACTGTAGCCCTGTACTGTAGCCTTGTAGTCGGTGACCAAGTCCTTCCATCTCCCCTTCCATCATCTTTTCTCAAGGGTAGATGCACCCAGCGTGACTCCTTCCATTTCTCTGCCTAGCCTTAATTTCTCATCTCCTGGACATCTGTGATACTCTCCTTCATCCCTTTCTCACGCAGGGAGAGTTTTCAACCGAGAAACTCTGCTTCCACTTGGTTTACCTTTTTACCTGCTACTGCAATAGGTAAGTCAGTATAGGCTAAGAACCACACCCGGACCAGAGCGGGGTAAAAGACTGGAACGTGATGCGGAAACTCATTTGCCTCGTTAACAGAGGAGACCAAACCTCTGCCCTACCTTTTCAGGGGTTTGGGAGAGAATCCAGTCATTTCTTTTCTTCAAAAATTGGCAGGAGCCCACTTTGCACAGAGCGGAACGAAGGAGAAAGTCTCGCTTAGAAAATTACGCAGAGGTGGTTTGAGTGTGCGTGCGTGCGCGCCCGTACATAACGGACTGCAGTCAGGAGCGAGAAATTGGTTCCCAACCGATCAGGAAATGGAGGAACAGCGAGCAGAAGCGGTATCCCTGGAAAGGAGAGGAGATGCTGCAGTTGAAATGTGGATTTGTTCCTTTGACGCACAAAGGTGCCAGATCTCAGTGTTATTTTCACAAGCTGATCCCTGCCCAAAAAAAAAAAAGCAGGGCTAGGAGAGCGGAACAGAACAGAACAGAACAGAACAGAACAGAATATCAGAGTTGGGAGGGACCCTCGAGGTCTTCTAGTCCAGAGATCCCCAACTTTTTGGGCACCAGGGACCGGTTACATGGAGAGAGGTTATTCCGTGGACCGGAGGGGGCGTGGTTTTGCGTGCTGCCTGCATCCCGCGGATGGGGCTTTCCTTGTTTGTGCGGACCGGTTGCTGGCATGTTGCGGCCCCGTACCAGTCCACGGCCTGGGGGTTGGGGACCCGTGTTCTAGTCCAACCCCTTGCTCAGGCAGGAGACCCTATGCCAGTGATGGCGAACCTTTTAGCGACCGAGTGCCCAAACCGCAACCCAAAACCCACTTGTTTATCGCAAAGTGCCAGGGCCTCATCAGCATTGTGGTGCCCTCGGGGGGTGGGGGCCAGGGAGGCGCCTCTGAGTGCCGTCTCCGGCACGCAAAAACGGGGGTTGCAAAAATGGGCCACCGTGCTGCAAGGCGCAAAAATGGGCGCCGCGACATCACGGGGTGCAGATACAAGGCGCTGCACCACGTAAGAACGGGGCAGGGCTAGTGAGTATCACGTAGACACTAGCCCCGCCCCATTTGCAGCGCGTACGTGCTCGCGGCCCCGTGCGCGCATGCACGCATGTAAAATGCTTCCCCCTCCCTTTTCTTCCAGTCCACCAATCGACAGTGGTTGGTGACCTTTGCTCTACCACCTCTACTCCAGCTTGCTAGTCGGCCGCTTTGTCTCCTTTATGCTGGGTGGGGGTCCTGCTCCGGGCGGCTGATGGACCTGTTGCTGGCAGCGGTGGCACGCGTGCCCACAGAGAGGGCTCTGAGTGCCGCCTCTGGCACGCCTGCCATAGGTTCGCCATCACTGCCCTATGCCATTTCAGACAAATGGTTGTCCAATCTCTTCTTAAAAAGGAGGAGGAGGAGGAGGAGGAGGAGAATAATAGATATGGAAGGGACCTTGGAGGTCTTCTAGTCCAACCCCCTGCAATATTCCACTTTCAGACAAATGGCTGTCCAGTCTCTTCTTGAAAACCTCCAGTGATGGGGCAGCCACAACTTCTGGAGGCAAGGAGTTCCACGGGTTGAATCAGCATTTTGAATCAACGTTTTGGAAATGTGGTTACTGTTTAAAATTCTGGAGAAATCCAGGGTGATTCAAAACAGGAAGACAGTCCTCTAGGTACGACGGAACTGAGATCGGAAATTCCGTTGCTAAGCAAGGCGATCGTTAAGTGAGCCATGCCTGGTTTTTACGACCTTCTTTGCCACGGCTGTTTAGCAAATCCCTGCAGTTGTTTAGTGGGTCGCCCGGTCGTTAAGCCGATCCAACTTCTCCGTGATGAATTTGCTCATCGGAAGCCGTTGGGAAGGTCACGAATAGTGACCCCCTGGCCCCGGGGATGCTGAAACTGTCGTACGTACACGCCAGTTGCCGAACGCCCAAATTTTGATCACGTGACCCTGGGGATGCTGCGATTTTTCTAAGGACTGGTTGTGCTTTTTTCAGTGCTTTGTCACTTGGAACGGTCGCTAAACAAATAATAATATTATTAATATTAATATTGATTAATATTACTATTAATATCGATTAATATTATTATTAATATTGATTGATATTAATAGTAATATTAATTGATATTAATATTAATATTACTGACATCAACATTAATATTAATATTAATATTAATATTATTGATGATGATGATGATGATGATGTTGGAAGGCACCTTGGAGGACATCTAGTCCAACCTCCTGCTCAGGCAGGAAATGGACGTAAATCAAGGACTACCTGTATTGGGTAAAACTACAGGTGATCCTTGACGTACAAGAGTTCATTTAATGACTGTTCAAAGTTACAACGGCACTGAAAAAAAGGACTTATGGATGTTTTTCACACTGACGATCCCAGTGGTCACGTGATCAAAATTCAGATAATTGGCAACTGACTCGTATTTATGACGGTTGCACTATCCCAGGTCATGTGATCCCCTTTTGCGACTACGCAATGCCACCACAGCTTGCTCCGGCCACGATACGTGGAATGGACCCACATTTATGTAGGAGGAACAATCCCTTAGATAGGAGCCAGCCGTGTGCTGCAGCTGCCAAAAAGGCCAACACAGTGCTAGGCTGCATTAACAGAGGGAGAGAATCAAGATCACGTGAAGTGTTAATACCACTTTACAAGGCCTTAGTAAGGCCACACTTGGAATACGGCATCCAGTTTTGGTTACCACGATGTAAAAAAGATGTTGAGACTCTAGAAAGAGTACAGAGAAGAGCAACAAAGATGATTAGGGGACTGGAGGCTAAAATATATAAGGAACGGTTGCTGGAATTGGGTATGTCTAGTTTAATGAAGAGAAGGACGAGGGGGGACATGATAGCAGCGTTCCAATACCTCAGGGGCTGCCCCAAAGAGGGAGTCAAGCTATTCTCCAAAGCGCCTGAAGGCAGGACAAGAAGCAATGGATTACTCCAATTGTTAAGTCAATCATTGCCTCAGTTAAGTTAGTCACAAGGTTCTTTTTTTTTTGTAAAGTTGGAAGGGATCTTGGAGGTCATCTAGTCCAACCCCCTGCTCAGGC